TAGCCCACAAATCTGCCCGTGGTGACGCTTCTGCTCGTTTTTTGTTGCGGCTATAAAAAGCAAATGCAGATGCGATTACTTGACTGTAACGCGTCTTCCTGAAGAAGGTTTGGATTGCAATTATGCTAGTGGACGCTTTAAATACTGGATTGCCGTGATGATAAAAGTGTTCGTCGCTGTCGTGTTCGGTGACCATGTGTTATATCTTGTAAAGAAAGTTTGTGTGTCCATACTCCAGCTGGCATATCTCCTGCATCCGTGCTAACATGCGATGCTCTTTATATCAAAAGCGACAGCCTAGATGTTAAATGAGATTCTACGTTTTGAAGCGGGCTCCTGAGCATGGCTGAAATCAGCAGAATATCGGATAAGATTACCGTAGTGCCCACAGTATAGATTAGAAACAAGAATTAAATATATATATATATATATATATATATATATATGCATATATGTATATGCATGTACACGTCATTAGTATATATACTTACATATTTATATATGTATATGTATATACATATATATATATATATATATATATATATATATGTATATTTATATATATATATATATATATATATAATATATATATATATATATCATCTGTTTCTCCCTCACAACCACTTCTATAGTCACGTCTGTGCAAGAGGAGGTTTAACATGACAGATGATAAGAGCATATTTTGAGGAAAAGGATGAGTTTCACCATGGGGTCTAAGCAGCAGTTAAAAAGGCCTTGGATGGGAATTACTGCATCCTGGTTTAAACACGACTTGAGAGAAACTAAATCAATGTGACCTTTCCAGAGCTGTCTTACAGTTACCACAATCTTTTAAGGCTGTCTCCGCTGATGTTTCGGCTTATCAGCACGTGAAATAGCCAGTCTCCCTGTAGCCGTCACGCAGGCTAGCTGGTGCTATCTCGTATGACCTTACCGAGAAAAACAATCGATCTCACACGGCTCATATGGCGGTGGAACGGATGGCATCTCCGACGGCAGGGTTTCCACCGCAGCTCTGAGAATCGATGGTGATTGACCAGCCCCAAACGACCGGCGTTGGAGTGCTGGCTTTGTACAGCGATGACCGCGACCCCGCCGGCTCTCAATCACGGACTGACTGGCAGGCGAATGATATGATCGGCCCGAGCCATGACAATTAACCGCGCGATGTATGTTCGGCTTCGGCGTGGTTGTGATTGAGAAGTTCACGGTTAGGGACGTGCTAGTGCTAGTGGGGTGGTGATAGAACTAGCGTATTGTTGCAACATTGCGGTCTTTAAATTCAGTGAGCATTTTTACTCCTGTCGTGGTGAGACCACTAGCAGGTGGGTTTCAAAACCACTATCAATTCAGAGGGATGGCTACAAAGTGCCCCATGGCACGTTGGTTTGGTTTGGAGCTTAAAGCTTTTCCGACCCTCCGTATATCAGGAGGTATTGGCTGAACGGCATTATGAAGAAATCATTTGCTATATTGACGAACCTCAATGTCCCAAGTTTTGCCCGTGGTCACGAGTGAGCTTGAGCGTAGCTTGAAACGTCGAGTTTTGTCAAATTATTCAAGGCCTGCGGGAGTGCGCAGGATCGTCCGATTTTATGTACATTTTAGCGTAAATTAAACCCAGGTAACGGACCAGAACCTATCACACAAAAATAGGTAACATAGGGTTTTGAATGAATTTGACGTACATATTACAGGGAAGTTTCTCCAACCACCGCAACATCTGTGTGCTCTCTGTGAGCTTTTCGGGCTTAGTTACGCCGTCTTGTACGGCTGAAATGTCAGGTCAAATGATTTCAAATTGTGGTTTCGTCGTCTCTGCATAGCTCTTCATGTAGTAACAGAATGAAACTTACCCCAGTCCACGAATACCTTATGACTTATAAAGGGTAAGATGATATCACCGAAACTCATTTCGCAACCTTTCATGATCTTCGCCCTAGATTACATTGAGATTCAATATTCATGTTTGGTGAAAGGAAGTTATGTACAGTAAAATGTTTGATAACTTAACTTGACCGGACTCGACCTCGACCTAAGATCCCACCACACTATTGGCGACACTTACAAATTATTTGAGTTGATAATACTCCACTTTTTGCGGTAAATTAATATAGGTTTAACGCTCACCCTTTGTGGTTTTGCCCTCTCTTGCCTCCAGACAAGAACACTGATGTCCATCATGCACATTGTATAACCTCTCCATGTTTTCGTAATCACCAGACAAGACGAGCTCCATGCTTCCTTAATCACCAGACAAGATGGTGCAGATCGCTCAGAGACAGGGCCGCTTCGTGGAGCAAAGGTCTCCACACATACGCCGTGCCGACACTTTTGACGAGACCGTATCACAATAAGCTGGTGAGGTAGCACGGTTTTCAAAGGTTTCATCCTTACCTTTTGAATAGATGGATTGCTGGGATCAGGCCTCACGCTGAGCAGTGCTCGCTGTGTGAGCCCTGACCTCTACCATCTGATCGTGCAATTCCAGATGAACGGC